GTGTGTGTGTGTGTGTGTGTGTGTGTGTGTGTCAGCAAATATAAGGACCCCATTCGCTTCCGCAGTATTTTACGATTCCAATCCTCTCTGTTGTGCGTGCATACATGCGTGCGTGTATGCGTGGATAGTTGTAAAATGTGGATGTGTATGCGCGCGCGCACACACATTAGCAGCAGAGAGGATTGGAGTCATTAAACAAACAGAAGTAACGAATTGTAGGACCCTTATCTCTACTGAGAGATAGACAGATAGACATACGCGCGCACGCACGCACGCACACACACACACCACACACACACACACGCACGCACGCACATCAATATCAAATGCCCTAATAAAAATTTTTCTCAGAATTTTTTATATAATTTTTTAGAATTTTTCTATAATTTTTTAACTTTGTGACATTTTATACGAATTGGAACATTTCTCAAAAAATCTACATCTTTTCTCAGAATTTTTTATATATGTTAATTATGAAATATTTAAATGAAATATATAAAATTTTTAATATTTTTTATAAGTATAATTTTTGATAAAATGTTATAAAATCTAAAAAATTTAAAAATACTTTTTAAAAATTAGGGATGAGAAATTTCAGAATATTACAGAATTCACTTGTATGAAAAATTCTGAGCGAAGATAAATAAATTTTCTGAATATTTCTGAGTATTTCTGAAAAATGTTGCAATTCGTACAAAAATTATAAGAAAAATTTTCACCAGGGAATACTCTATCTAGACTTTAGCACCTAGTATAGCAAAAGAAAAATTGCGTAAACGTAAATACAATACATACAATACAATAACATACATACATATAATTATAGCCTATGTTTAGTTTACATTGAGATATACATGTATGTGTTATATAAAGTATCTCATTATATGTCCCGGATCGATTGATATTTCGAAAAGTATACTTTTGAGAAAAATGTTTCAGACAAATTTTGCAATATATAAAGTGTATTTAATGATGTTAACAGTTTAACCTTGAGTAGCATCGCCAATATCAAGTCACGTCGATTTTTTTAAGGAACATCCTTTTTATTTCAGAATTCTAATAGCTGGTGTCAAGAGTCTTACAAAACATTATAATAAATTTATTTTTCATTACGTTTTAAATTATAAGACTTGAAAGTTACAGTACTGCTGCCATTAACAAAATGTCTGACTGACGATTAAAATCTCTTTTGAATATTGTTCAGGATCATATCCTGGATAACATTTGTCATTATCAAAGCCAATAGAGATTATTCCTCTTATTTTTGCATTAAACATTTTTAAATAAAAAGTATAATCTCCAATGATTTCGATCTTGACAAATGATAATGCAGGAATCTATCCTTTAGAAAGTAGATAAATTATATCAGGTTATATCATCGATGAGATACTATTAAAGACTGTTAATCCTGAGCAAATTTTCGACGTATAAAAAGAATCCCAAGAGATAATTGAAGAACGCTGACATTATCGACAACTATAAAAATATATTATTATTAACATAAATATTTGACTCACACATTATTAAATTTATGATTTTTTAATGCATAAATGTTCCATAAATAAATATGCATAGTTATAAAGCTATAATATTCTATATATTGCAGAAAAATTATAATTTTTTTCCCTGCGATCGTCTCTGTTGAAAATCAAATTTTGATGACAATATTGAAATTACAATTTTAAAGAAAAATAGGATATTATTGAGTTATAAATGCATAATTACGTCTACTAAACTAATAAATCATAAAATTAGTACAATATTATCAGTTTTTCTCTTAATTACTTTAATATTCACTTTAATATTCAAGAACGAACTTCCATGAGTGCGTTCCAAAACTTGATTCAGTCAACTCCGAGTATCCTTTATTCAATATTTAATGACAAGGATAAAACAATATTCGATTTGACAGAATTTTGGAACGCAACCTATAAGGATGTCAGTCTTTAATAGTATTTTCGTAATAGTAATTCGTTAGTGGTTATATTTACCAATCCATATCCATCCATATGGATATCCATATTCTGAATTGACGGTACTGTGTTCTAAAATTCATTGCCAATGTTAAAGATTTATACAGCGGAGAGCACAGACTCTTGCATTACTCATAACACGTAATGCATAAGAAATTCAACCAATCAGAGTTCTTTATTTCATGGAAAGAAAGGAAACGAAGGAATGGAAAGGAACTTTGATTGGTACATTTTCTTATGCATTACGTGTTATTATGCAAAAGTCTGTGCTTCTCGCTATCTCTAAAATTCTATAGTATGCGTAACGTAAATTATAGCATGTTAATCCGCTAACATCATTGTAAGCGGATATTGAATACAGGCAGTATAGTATAGTATACGTAACGTAAACTGTAGATTGTCAGCGCTGGCAGTGAATTTGAAACACAGCCACACATGTGTAGACATGGCATACTGATTTATTGTTGTACCAATCAGCTACTGCAATAAATGAATACATCAGAATACATTACTGTATATACATTTTTGTTACAATTGACTCTAAACGTGAAGAATATTTTTGCAATATCAATAGCGATAATTAGCAATTATATTATATTTTATATTATTTTAACACTTAGCATTTAGAAATATGATAATTTTAATTTAATGTATAAATTAGAATTTTGCCTGTTAAATAACTGATGTAATATGTCATTATTTCATTTAGATACGGTGCTTTGCAGAAAAATTATATTCTTCGAGCGTTAGTGCTACAGTCGCACATGCTACTTTTAGACAATTGATGACGTCAGGATCTGTTACAGGTGATGATACATTTTCTATGTCTTCGATGCAATTACTGATGATTTTTTATTCATTTTTCACACAAACATTGCTGTCAAATATTAAATATTTTCTATCTATAATACACAGTGATATTTTTCTTTTTAGCATATCAATTTGAAATGTACATAAAAGAATCCTTTTAGACTTTAGATATTTATATCATTATTGAGATATTATTTAATGTTTATATCATCATTCTCTTTCTAAATTGTAACTAGATCTCTAATCCTGTAATTTTAGTATCTACAAACATTAAAGAAACATCCAATGTACAAATAAACATGGATGAAGTCATTACAAAAGAAGTATGTTTGCATATTATTATGATTAAGATGTTTTATATTTATCAAATATTATTAATTTATCAGAATTATTTAAGATTATATTTATTTTGTATATAAAAGGTTGGGAATAATGGCATAATAGTTTTAAATCGACCTAAAGCGTTGAATTCTATAAATTTGTCCATGGTTCAAAAAATATATTCTATCCTCAAACAATGGGAGTCTTCAAAGAAGCTGGTAATAATAGAAGGTGAGAAAGTGTTTTGCGTGGGTGGTGATGTCAAAGCACTTGTCTTATCATTGAATGAATCAGCAGGACATCTACAGGGCGAAGAATTTTTCAGAAGAATAAATACGTAAGTGTCTGTTCAAGAGTAAATGCATCTTTTATTTACTTATGTGAGCAAAATGATTTTTTCTTCTGTTTTTAGTTTAAATCATTTTACTGGAAGATATAAGAAGCCTTATATTGCTATTATTGATGGGATAACAATGGGAGCTGGTGTTGTATTATCTATACACGGCAAATACAGAATTGCCACGGAAAAAACTCTGTTTGCTATGCCAGAAACGGCAATAGGATTGTGTCCTGGTGTGACTCACTTTTTGTCCAGATTGAAAGGCAAACTAGGTGTATATTTAGGTTTAACAGGATACAGATTGAAAGGTATAGCTTCAATTCTATTATGAATTTTATATACATAAATAGACATTTATAAGTTTTATGAAGGTTTCGATGTTTTATGAAGGTTTCGATGTTTTTCTTGCTGGTATTGCGACGCATTTTGTACCATCAGAGAAACTCGCAGATTTAAAACACGATTTATTTGCGTTGCATGGAGTTGACATTGAGTCCATTTTGAATAAGTATCAACAAAAATTAAATCATGAATTCAGCTTAGTACCTCATATGTCACAGATAGAAAATTGTTTTTCTGCTCCAACCGTTGAAGAGATAATTGAAAGGTAAGCTAAAGTTATTAAAAAGTTAAATTAATA